GACCACATATTTCGCCGGCAAAGATTGAATAGATTTATGGAAAGGATGGTCAATTGAGTGAAATTGATTTTTAAAAAAAAGATAGATTTTTTTTTATAATCTCTGGAAAAATAGACTATTGTAATCTTAGGTCCCGTTCATTTTATCAATTTGAGTTTAAAATTTAAATTTTATTACAGTAAAAAACTCTCAGAAACTGTTACATTTAATTTTTTTGTTACAGTAAAAAACTCTCACATAAAATCACATCTCAACTCGAATCAACGAACTAAACGGATCCTTACTTTTTAACCGTTAAATTTGTATCAAAATTTATCTATTTTGTGTATATTTTTAATTTGATGTAATAACTCTCACATAAAATCACATCTCAACTCGAATCAACGAACTAAACGGATTCTTACTTTTTAACCGTTAAATTTGTATCATAATTTATCTATTTTGTGTATATTTTTAATTTGATGTAATTTTAATAAAAAAAAGTCAAAGGGGGACTACCAGAAAAACTAAAAAAAAAGACTGAAATTGCATCTTTCGTAAAAAGTTAATTTGCAAGAAGATTATTGCCATAAAAAAATGTTAATTTGCAGGAAGATTATTGCCATAAAAAATTTTGCAGGTTGTTGTGGGAAAGTTCAAATAAATACTGTTGCCGTACATTTCTCACCGCTGGTCTGCTAGGTTCAATCAAATTAAGCAGGAGAACAAAAAAAGGTAAGCACGTTAGACAAAAATTTGATGAAAGTCAGTCAATTTAGAGTCACTTTTTCTATTTTTTATATATTTTTTAATACGATGTGGAATTGAGCCTACTCCCTCCAAAGTCCAAATCCCACCCAATCTTACCTCATTCCATTTAACTTAATAGTGATTAGAACGACAGTTTATTTTAAAAAATTATTCACTATAATAATTTAGCTTATTTCAAGATTGTTTACTTATAAGGTGTGATTTGAAGGTTACTCTAGTATTTATTTATCAGTGAGTATTATTAGTTTAAGTGTGTGATATACCGATGAAAATGTAACTATTATTTTATTATTATTTTTAATCTTTATGGCCATATTAGTACAATTATTAATGAATAACATTTTTAATTGTAAAAGAAAATTTACGAGGGTTAAAATGAGTTTATGGATAAAAGATAGTAAACAATACTTACTAAATTAGTCAAGATAAATTCAAAAAATCAAAAAATTACCAAAATTATTAATGTAGTAAATCCAAAAATTTTTTAAGTAAATCACAGATTTATCAACAAAAAAAAAAAATTTCATGAATAGATCAAGTAAATCGAGATTTACTATTATTTACGAGTTATTCATCATTTATTTCTATCTCCATTCATACATAAAATAACAATTGTTAAATAAAAAATCCTTTGCATTCTTTTCTTCAAAAACATAAGGAAAAGAAAGTCATCGTCTTTTTCTTTTATTCATTTTTTTTTTTTGAACTCACTTTCCTTCTTGTACTTTTATTTCTTCCTAGTTTCCTTTCTAATTGATTCCCATATGTAATAGGACTATGATACAACTTGAGAACGAAGAAATACAAGTAAAAAAAAAAACACAAGTAAAAAGGTAAGTTGCACCGAAAAGAAATTACGGAAATTAAAGATTATAATTCAAAACCATTGTTCATAAGGGGCTGGCTAATTTACCTTACAAAATAATTAAAAAAAAAAATTCTATCCTCCGTCCTGTCACGGAACATGGGCTTTTGGAAAAGTCTTAGCTACTCCTTTTCCAAATAAAATTCACTTTGATAAAAAAATAAAATGAAATAAAGAACCAAAAGGAGACTGATGAAGACCACGAATTAAAAAAAAAAACTCCACCAACGCTTATTTTATTATTTTCCAAATAATTCCAAATAAGGACTTATGTCTGAAGAAGACCAAGAATTAAAAATAATAATCATAATAATCATAAAGCAATACTTGCCAACTGTATGTAAAGCAATGTTTCATCGTACGCCTCCACTTTATTTGGCATCGTCAAAAGACAATTCACATAATTGATTACATCCAAACCCCGTGAAATGAGCTCTCTAAGAAAAATGAATTATGAGCACATAAAAATTAATAATATTTGTTTTATGCCCTTAAAAAGCCTCCACAAAGTACAAGAAACCAGAACAGAACCCCAGCAAAACAGAACTAAAATGGGCAATTGAAATTCCACAATTTCACAATTTTTTTAACCACATGATGAAAATTTTCAGCATATTGTACGCAATTTGTGTACTAAATAAGTCAAATAAATAATAATTTAACTGAACAACTAGATTGCAAGAATATATTACTAATAATCAAGAACACAAAAGCGTCGCGGTCGGATAATTTAGAGTGTAAATAAATCGAACAGAACACAATGTTTGATTCTCAAAGAGAGAAAGTAAAAATGACATTACACTCAGAACAACGCAAAATATAAAATAAAGATGATTAAAAAAAAGGATCGATCCGTAACTCTACATGGACAAAACGGCGATAACGCAGAGAGCGACTGCCACCGAACCGGAGACAGCGAATCTGTTGAGAACGGCGGCGTTCTCCGACGGAGCAGGGGCTACGGAAGGCGGAGTGGAGATCGTCGATGGAGTAGTCGCCGCAGACGGAGAAGTTGCCGGGGAAGAAGCAGGAGTAGACGACGTAGGAGGAGCTGGAGGAGAGGTCGCTGTCGCAGGCGAAGGCGAGACCGCGGGAGGAGAGGTCGTCTTCGCCGGAGAGGGCGCAGAGGCTGGAGTTTTCGCTGAAGGAGAAGGCAACGGAGATTTAGAAGGAGTCGCTGATGGCGGCGATTTGGTCGGAGACGAAGCTGGAGAGGCGGAAGGAGACTGAGCGAGAGTTGAGCCAACGAACACTGCGGCGATCATGAGAGCTGCAAGGATTGCGCTTGAGTGAGCCATTGTAGAGAGTCAGAGAAACAATTCTAGAGAGATAAAGTGACAGAAACAATTCTAGAGAGAGAAAGTTAGAGAAAGAAGAGCTGCGAGAGAGGAGGCGAATCGTTTGTCTGAGAAAAGAAAAGAGGGAGAGGAAGCGGTACTTATAGGGAAAGTGCTAGTGGGTGGACTTGACCCAACTCGGCTGAGTCCCAACGAGTACGTCCTTCTTTACGCGCAAATCGTCTGATTACCTAAAAATTAGGGACCCGAATCCCAAGGCAGATCGGACGACACGGAATGAATTTGAGTTAATACGTGGCGTGATTTGGTGGTGATTGAGTAGCTAATTGGGGCAAAAGATTTTGGTCTTCTGAATATTTGATTTTGAGTTTTTAGCTGTATATAGATTATTTTATTATTTTTTGTAACGGTCGATAGTGGAGGGAACTGGGAAGGTTTTGGTTTTTGGGCAACGGGCTCGACGGGGGAGAGTGGGCCCACTTATTTGGAAGCATAACACACACGTTATTGCTTTTTTGTCCAAAGCGTACCTCAAAGTCTTGCCTGGTTTTGATTTGGAATGGTTGTGTAGGGCCTTCAATGTGCATACTTTCAATTTCAAAAGTAAAGGAGGAAAAAAAAAAAAAAAAAAAAAAAAAATTCGGCCTCATTTTTTTTCAAAAAAATATTTAATTCGCATGATGGTAAGATTATAGAAGGAAAAAAAAAAAAACGTAACATTGGTAAGGAGAATATAGTACAAGGAAATTACCTTTTTATTTTGTATTTCTTTAATTCTCTAATTCTATTTAAAGATATGTAACATTGGTGAGGAAAATATAGTAGAAGGAAATAACCTTTTTTTATTATTATTTTGTGTTCGGTGTTAATTCTCTTCTCTAATTCTTTTATATTGAGAAAGATTAAAACATATTTTTGAATATTTGAAATGTTGCGTCCCTAATTCACTCCGTGATTGTTTCTCTCCTTTCAAAATCCTTTCATTAATGCCTTTCTTATTCCTTTTCTTAAAAAAAATGAATTTGTAATTACTTAGTTTCTTTATTAAGTTATACTGTATTTTATTCCTTATTTTTAGAAGATTAGGCAACTTATTAATTTTTGAATTCGTACGTTTATATATAATATTTGTTGTTATGAATGGAAAGGTTATGCCATTATTTTCCAAACACTTTATTAATACTATTTTTGTCTCGTACCAAATAAACTCTTAAGTCGTAGATTTTTTTTTCCTAAAAAAAATTAAGTCTTAGATTTTCGAGTACTAAAAAACCAATAAACTGCATATACCAACAAAAAAAAAATCATACACACATAATTTGGTTTTATTTTTTTTTTAAAGACTAATTTTGTTTGATTTTGTTTTTACAAAATTTCAAATCTTTTAAAAATAAATTCACTTTTTTCTAAATTGATCGATGATTTTCTCTCCAATTTCCAAACACGAACATTTCCTAAAGTATTTCTTTTGGAACTCGGTTATACCCTACAATTACTATTTCTCTTTTGAAAGGAATTTACGCTACAATTATTAGCAAATGCTAACATTGATTTGTGTCGAATGTAATGGCTCATGGGTGTTAACAACACTGAAATAAATCTCCCACGTAAATGCTGCCTATTTTTCAACTATTCTTTCACAAAAGGAAGAAATTTCTTCTTTCCAAAATCAATGGGGGAATCTAATTCAGGTTAAGCAATAATAATAATTAACTTTCTAATAAAAAGAGGTCAATGACGGAATTAATACAAGAAGTTACGAGAAGATTCCGCTTTTCTTAATATTAAAAAAAAAAAAAAAAAACTTTTCGTTGGTCGTTTTCCATACAAAATAATTTCATTTCACGATGATAATTCGACCCATGAACTTATGAAGTATTCTTTTCTAATTGTTTTATTCTTTCCAACAATATTTCTCGTCCCTTTCAAGGAAAAAAAGGGCAATATTTCTCAAGATTTGCTGATCATCTTAATTGATATTTACTCCTTTGATGGAATAAAGCAAAGCAAGCATCTTAAATTCGTAGCAAGTAGCAGCAAATGAAAAAAGAAACTGTCTCATTAATTTTCTATAATATAATCAACCATTGAATCAATACAAAATATAATGTAATAAAAAATTAATAATTAAAAAGTAATATATTGTCTATCAACAACAATGAATCCCACAAAATAACGAATCGCCAAAGAAAAAACTCCGATCGAGCAATCATAAACTCTCTACATCACGAAAACCGATACGAGAACGGCGACGGCGACCGATCCGGCTACGGAAAATGCAGCGGTAGCGGCAGCGTTCTCAGCAGGAGCAGGGACCTCCGATGACGGCCCGGAGATGGACGACGGAGTAGCCGCCGGAACATCAGAGGACGCCGGCGTAGGAGAAGGAGGAGAGCTCACAACGTCGGAAGGAGACGGAGCAGTTGCCGGGGGAGTGGTCACCGATGGTGAAGGAGCAGCGGTTGTCGACGGAGACGGCGACGGAGAAACCTTACGAGGCGCTTGCGCCGGAGAAAGAGACGGCGATGGCGATTGGGCTGTGGTTGAGGCTACAAGCAATGCAGCCATCAAAGCAACGAGCACAAAGCTTGGGCGGGCCATTCTAGAGAGAGAGAGGAAGAGCAATCTAAAGATAGAGACTGAGATTGATTATCAACAGGAGAATAGAGAAAAGTAGAGAGAATTGGTTGATGGTGCTTAGGAGGAGAAGAGAGTGGGTATTTAAAAGAAAATTTTAGGAGTTTCAGTCAAAAGATGAAAGCCCAGATCACCGTTAGATTTCACGACTTTGATTTGGTAATAATGATTAAACGGCATAGATTGATTTATTCGCTTTACTTAACACCTAAGGGCCTAATCTCATACGGAACCGAGTAACTGACTTATTCTATACGCGTTTTTGGTGATCTGCTTTGACTTTGCATCTTGATCGTACACATAAAAGAGTAGAATAGTGGGGACAACGAGAGCCGTTAACGAATCGTAACGGTTAGTTCGTGAATGGTGGAGATTGGAAACAGAGATGGAAACTGATAACGTGAAGTGGGACCACGAATAGAAGAGAAACTCAAAAACATAATGAACATGGTCATGGTCCAGCTGTTGCAATAATAATACCCATATAGCCGATTTAAACTTTAATTTTTATGGAAACGTATAGCCGAATTTTAGGCAACACACGTACAATAATTCAGAAGTTTCCATTTTTTTGTGTTTCCTGAAACGGGAAGATGAAGAGTGTGAGTTGTCTAGTGATTATGCCAGCAAAAACACGTCCATTTACAACTTTCAAAACCTATTTTTTACTTTAAAGCTAGCTATAAATTTCTTCATCTGCGTGGCTAATACATATGTGGTTGGCGTGTGTGTGTCAAATTTATATATATATATATATATATATATATATTTTAGAATTGTAAAATTTATAAGGATTGTTTTTCCTCAAAGAACTATATCTACGCACCACTTATATATATATATATATACACACGTGTGTGAGAAAGAGATTTATTTGAAAAATAACAAAAAATTGTTTATTTATAAAAAATTTTAGCACAAATTGAGGTGTGGATATCTTTTTTGCCATATAAAATTATATTTTATTATGGGTTTTTTCAACATGTAAAATTCAGATTTAAAAAGATAAAAATTCTACAACTAAAAATAAAACAATTAAAAAACGTACTTAAAATTTCAAATACATCAATTTCTCAAACGAAATTGGGTATCTGTGTCATATGGGTTTCTTAATTACTTTTCTCTATATGCACTTTCCTCTTAATTACTTTTCTCTATCATACTGTTATAACTATACTATATTATAAAATTTTTATTTTATAATATTATATGTTATGAGATATAATTACAATCTAATATATGGTATATTATAATATTATATTAATTATATTGTAACTATTAATATACTTCTAATATTTAATAATTATAATGTTCAAGCATAATTATGGACAAGAGGAAAAGAGATTGAAATGGCTATTCCTTTCATGTGAAGAAAGAATGATGATTCACGTATTAGACGGAAAAGTTATTCTAGTTTGAATGATTATTCTTTTTCCAAAAACTAATAAAACATCATAATAAATCTTCATTCATTTCTTTCCATTCCTTTCTCCTCCAACCAAACACAACCTAAATTGTTTGTTGATTTAATATTTACATGTTGATAGATTCGGTACATATCAAAAATTTGTATTTCCTCAAAAACCAATTTGATGATTTGATGATTCAACTGAGTACATTATTACAATCGAGATAGTGAAATTTCTTTTCTCCCCACAGTAAAGGTAGCTCTCCAATCGAGGATAAATCACTATAAATTATATGTGTTCTTGTTTAAATTCCGCTTTTAATTGTGTTTTAGTCCATTAAATTTGTGCAAACCATTTAAAAATTCGTTATTATTCTACTGACAAATTTTCACCATCAACGCCCTTTTACTCTTGATTCATAACTTTTTTAGTCAAATAATTACACTAATAAAAAGGTATTTATCAAGAATAAGTAATAAAAGTCCAGACTCACGCATTCTTAAGAGTAAATTCTACAATTTTCTCATATAAAAACTATAAGGAAATTTAGACATACATCTTATTAAATATATTAGGAAATTTAGAATATATTATAAATAGGGAAAATTAAGATTATTGTATTAATTACGATGCAATTGTGACTCATAAAACATAAGAATCTTTATAATAATTACTATGTATTTATACATTTCTAAAATATTTCAAAAAATTGATATATTTCAATTCCATTCTTGTAAATATCCTTAGGTAATTTTGGGTCAGTTTAACATTGACGCTCTGTTAAGAATTTGTGTTGTAGCTGTAATGTTAGTAATAAGTTGCTATGACCAGAAGCATATAGATATTTGGTAAATATTTTTATAAAATTGTTGTGAATTCAACGAGCAGAAATTTAGGTGTTTGGTATAGTGTGTATAAAATTGCTGTGAAAATGTATAATGACAAAATTAGACATACTTTAGCCCATTTTATAGTATGTTTTATTTCTATTCCATGGTCAATATTCAAATATAAAAAACTAAAATTTTAATTTTATTAATTAAAATAGTTCTTAAAAATAAATTACTTTTATTGATAGGAAAAATTATTCATTTACTAAAATTTTTATTTATTGTAGTTATTTTAAGGGATATTTACATTTTTATATCTTATGTTTTAGGTTTATTCAAAATTTATACCGTCAGTTTTTAATCACATCAAATGTACACCTTCAAATTAGATTTAATATGCAAATCTATACCTTACCTTAGTTAATTATTGATTTTGACCTTTAAAATGACCAAACTATCCTTAAGAAAAAGAGGGAAAAACCAAAACTTTACAATAGTACAAAAAAATAATAATTAAAAGCACAAAAAAAAAACTCATTTTAATGGTATTTTGCATATTTTTGAGGTAAAAAATGTAAGTATACAGTTTTTTTTTTTATATTTTATTCAAGGGTATTTTAGGTACTTTTAAGATTAATATCAAGAGTTAACTATGCAAATGTATAAATTTAGGTATTAAAGCTAATTTGAAGGTATACATTTGATGAGATCAAAAATTGAAAGTATAGTTTAAAAATAAGCCTAAAATACATTGCATAAAAATGTAAATGACCCTTATTTTAAACATTTCGATAATTAGTAAATATTTAAATAAAATTTATTATATAGTATACTTGTTAAAGATTTTCAATTTTTAATAACTATTTTAAAAATATATGTTTTTAATTTGGTATGAAATAAGTAAAATAAGTAGATTGAGAATTAAGTTTTTTTATTAAGATTATCTTAATAAATTTGGACAATAATAGCAGAAGCTGTTGTGCAAAAGAACACTTGACATGCTTCTTAAATTTTGCTGTTTGACAATAATTTTTAAAAACAGTTAGATAAAAGTAGAATTTATTAAACACCCTAACATGTTGTAACTTCTTAAAAAAAAAAAAGCTAAAAATAACCTGTAAAGCAAACGCCCTACATACATAATTAAGTAAAAAAATAAAATCACTCTTAACTTCTTTCTTTTCAATGTCAAGTAAGCACAAGCCCTTGATAAAATCTCTCATTTCCTGGCTTGATGATGAGAGGAATTGCATGAAAGTTGACAAGTGTTGGTAAAAGTCTCAAATTCATTGAAGTTCAGATAAAAGGGAAAAAGTCTCGATTCATTAGCATAAGAGATAGAAACTTTAACGAATAAAAACACTTACGAGAGTAATAAGTTGTTAACAACATAACGCTACGCTTGTTCCGCGTTTATTATTATTATTACTCAGTCGAGGACTCTAAACTAGCAAAGTGACGGCGACTACGCCGACGACAACAATGCAACCCTTCCACCTCAACCTGTTCAAAACTACGCCGTTTTCTGTCGGTTCAGGCGCTTCTGATTGCTGAAAAGAGTTCTCGATAGTCAGAGATGAGGCAGCACTCTCCGGAGAAGGCGCAATTATTGGCGGTTTCACTGCCGGAGATTGAATACCAGGCGGAGATTTCGTCGGAGAAGCCGCCGGAGACTGTACTGCCATGGCGAAGCCAATCAAAATTGCTGCAGTTAGCGTCAAAATCACAGCATTTAAGCTTGAACGAGGCATTTTAGGGATTGCGGAAGTAAAAGAGTAGGAGCTTGGTTAATGCATGAGAAAACGGACTTATAACAGGTCTCTAAAGATAAAAGGCTCCGTTTATTTCACCAATTCGAGTTTAGAATTTGAGTTTTACTATAACAAAAAGCTCTCAGAAATAGTTACATTTAAAAGACGTTTAGTTTATGGATTCAGAATTATGATTCAGAACCATTCTCGTTTTACTGGGCGTTGTAGCGCGCCTAAAGGGCCTAGAATTAGCCCCAATGGGCGCTACAGCGCGCCCAAAGGCGCTGCAACGCGCCTCAGCCCATGACAGTGAGCTCCTTCTTCCAAAAATGCGCGCTGTAGCGCGTTTTCACGCAGGCTGCAGCGCGCGTATGAAACCCTAGCTCTGAAATGTTGTAGTATAAAAGGAAAGAGTTGTCATTTGAAAAAGGGAGCCCCGGAAAAGTGAAGAAAACATCAAAAGGAGGCCGAAATCCTTCATCTTGGAGGTCCTTGGAAGCTCTTCAATGGATATTGAGTTTTATCTTCTTTCATCTATTTTTCCATGTTGAGCTAGACATTAAATCTAGGACTTGATGTAGTTTTATTTGAACTATGTTTTGAATATTTTGTTGATTGTTAATTTTATTTTATTTTCAATTCATTTATGTTTATCTATGCTTAATGCTTTTAATTTATTTGGCCAATGAGTTAGATGATTTTTAGATTGTGAATTTGATGCTCGGGAGAGATTGAATTCTTTATCTAGATTTGAGAAGCATAGTCTAGGTTGTTGTGAGACCGGGAGGAGATCAACGCTTAGATAATCAAATTAGGATTTAGGTCGTTGTGAGGATGGGAGGCGATCAATATTCCTATTTTCTAATTCTAAAGGCGAAGCTTAATTTGTGTTTAAATGTTCATTTCGAATAGGGATATTGTTTTGGGTATTTAAATACAATTTCTTGTGAGGCACTCGGGAGAGGTTGCGAGATGACATTAGAGCCTTGATTAATGAATTGAATGGAATTGATTAGCGAATACATAATAGGATGAACATAGGAATAATAAAGGGAAATCAAGTCCCTAGACCATT